TTTTTTTTTTTTTTTTTTTTTTTTTTTTTTTTTTTTTTTTTTTTTTTTTTTTTTTTTTTTTTTTTTTTTTTTTTTTTTTTTTTGAGACGGAGTCTTGCTCTGTTGCCAGGCTGGAGTGCAGTGGCTCAATCTTGGCTTACTGCAACCTCTGCCTCCTGGGTTCAAGTGATTCTTCCACCTCAGCTTCTCAAGTAGCTGGGACCACAGGCGCATGCCACCACACCCGGCTAATTTTTGTATTTTTAGTAGAGATGGGGTTTTACCATGTTGGCCAGGATGGTCTTGATCTCTTGACCTCGTGATCCGCCCACCTCGGCCTCCCAAAGTGCTGGGATTACAGGCGTGAAGCCACCATGCCTGGCCACACTTAAGTCTTTAATTCATCTTGAGTAAATTTTTGTAGAAGATGTAAGGAATTGAATTCATAAATTACTTTGCATTGAATTCATAAATTACTTTGGGCAGTATGGCCACTATTCATTATGTTGACTCTGCCTTTCTTCTTTTTTTTGAGATGGTTTTTTCTCTTGTTGCCGAGGCTGGAGTGCAATGACATGATCTCAGCTCACCGAAACCTTCGCCTCCTCAGTTCAAGCAATTCAAGCAATTCTCCTGCGTAGCTGGGATTATAGGCATGCACCACCATACCCAGCTAATTTTGTAATTTTTTAGTAGAGACAGGATTTCTCCATGTTGGTCATGCAGGTCTCAAACTCCTGACCTTAGGTGATCCAACTGCCTCTGCCCCCCAGAGTGCTTGGGATTACAGGTGTGAGCCTCTACACCTAGCCTGATGTTGATTCTTACTGTCCATAATGATGGAATGTTTTTCCATTTGATTGTGTGCTCTCTTACTTCCTTGAGTAGTGGTTTGTAGTTCTCCTTGAAGAGGTCCTTCCCATTCCTTGTTAACTGTATTTCTAGGTATTTTATTATTTTTGTGGCAATCGTAAAGTTCATATAGGATTTGGCACTCCGATCCTTTAGTGTTGCCTTATAGGAATGCTTGTGAGTTTTGTATTTTTAGTGGAGATGGGGTTTCACCATGTTGGCCGGGATGGTCTTGATCTCTTGATCTCGCGATTTGCCAGCCTCGACCTCCCAAAGTGCTCAGATTACAGGTGTGAGCCACCATGCCTGGCCAAACCAATGTTTCTTTATGATTAAATTCAGACTATAATTTATTTTTGAGAAGGCGGTGATGCTGTGTCCTTCTGTATGCTTCAGCATGTCAATAACCCACTTGGTTAATGAGCTTTGTGAGAGGTTTTTTTTCTGTAGAATTAATTTTTTTTGTCTTCATTATTAAGTATCTTTATGCAGCTGATGTGGATAATCACTTTTAATCTGGCAGCTGTCCTTTCTTAGGTTTCCTTTGCATTTATCTGTCTTTGGAAAATTAAAGTGCTAATCTTTGTTTATAGGCCACAAAAACTGAAAAACACACAGGCTCTTTCACTTACTGGATGTTTGACAAAATAGTTTTCTTGTGCCAAAAACATTGGCATTAGTGGTGAGCTTGTTAGAGATTCAGAAACTCAGATTTTATTCCAGATTTTCTGAAAAAATAATCAGCATTAACATGATCTCCAGTTTATTGTACACATTAAAATTTAAGCAGTACTTTATAACTCAGTATGTCTTTCCCTCTGAAAAATTTACGCAACTCATTCTGTATGATGTAAATGTAGCACTAAAAAATGTACATGTTAGTGTTTATGTCTTCAGTTTTGTACTTCGTCATCTAGAAAAGTACCATCTATATTGTGATGTTGTGGATCTTATGCCACTCTCTTTTCTCAGGCTTAGAGAATACATTAGAGAATATTTCTGTGTTGAAAGTTATTTATTAGATATTTTCAGTCACTTCTATAAGTAAGAACCACTTCTCTTTATTCTTGCTTTAACTTGAGTCAAATTAAAAATTCTGCTCCTGGCCACTTGGTAAATATATGTGTGTGTCTGTGTGTGTGTTTGTGTGTTTTTCAGGGAGTGTTGACATTTAGGGATGTGGCCATAGAATTCTGTCTGGAGGAGTGGCAATGCCTAGACACTGCACAACAGAATTTATATAGGAATGTGATGTTAGAGAACTACAGAAATCTGGTCTTTCTGGGTGAGCATAACTTCAATACACGATTTCTTAATACACCCTGTAAGATATATTTATTGATTGATTGTAGAATGGTTTTTGGTAACTTATGCTTTCAGATCTGTTATTTTTTTAAACCTTTTTTTTTTTTTTTTTTTAAGATGAGGTTTCACCATGTTGGTCAGGCTGGTCTTAAACTCCCAACCTCAGGTGATCCGCCCGCCTTGTCCTCCAAAGTGCTTGGATTACAGGCGTGAACCACCACGCACAGCCTAAACTTTATTTATGTAAAAAAGAATTTTAAGATGTTTAATTTTGACCTGAAGTTTCCACATTCCGGAGCTGATCGGTGCCCTTCACTCTAGATTAGTGTTAATTGTAGAAATACAGTGGCATAGCAAACTTGCCCAAATCTTAAAATCTAACTGCCACTACTGATTTTTGATTTAGCAGTACCAGGTAGTGAAATTAAGAACTTACACAATTAAAATATTTCCCAAATATTTAAAATTTGTTGTTATAAGTTAGTATTTTAGAATTTATTAAAATATTCTTTTGCATTCTTTTCACTGAGCACACTACTAAGTTGGTAACTGGAGAATATAAGCAAGATTTATGTAATTTTTAATAAAACAGGTATTGCTGCCTTTAAGCCAGACCTGATCACCTGTCTGGAGCAAGGACAAGAACCTTGGAATGTGAAGAGACATGGTATGGTAGCCGAACTCCCAGGTAGGTGTAAGTGAAAGTGAGTAGAACAGACGACACAGATGAGAGGTCCAAAGTAAGAAAAAAGCCAGTCCTTGAAATGATTTGGAATTTTGTGTTCCAAAGGAAGTAGTTTCTGGAAAGCCTATTGGTTTTTTTTTTTTTTTTAATTTTGCTCTCACATAGAAACTCTTCTGTCTTATCCTTTTAAAATCTCTAAAAATTTTAGTTTCCCTTCAGTGATGTTTCTTCAAGTTTACAGTGCCAGCCAAAGTCCTCTTCGTGGCATATAAGAGACTGCAAAATTTGACTGCTTTTTTATTGTTTTTCAAAACACACAGATATCTGCATAACGTTGAGAAACTGCATGTTAAATGGTTTTTTAAGTTCTTTTTTTACATCATGTCTAAAATATGTGGGAGTAGTGGCTTCTTTTCCATTGTTTTTATTACTTAGTTTTCTGCATATACATTTTGTCTTCTATAGCCTTTAATATAGTTTGAAATTATAAAGTATGATGCTCTTCTGCTTTGTTCTTTTTTTTAAAGATTGCTTTGGCTATTTAAAGTCTTTTGTAGTTCTACATGAATTTTAGAATTGTATTTTCTATTACCGTAAAAACTGCTGGAGGCCGGGTATGGTGGCTCATGCCTGTAATCCAAGCACTTTGGAGGCCAAGGCTGGCGGATCACCTGAGGTCGGGAGTTTAAGACCAGCCTGACCAACATAGTGAAACCCGATCTTTATTTAAAAAAAAAAAAAAAAAAGGAATTTTGATAGGGAGTTTATTGAATCTAGAGATCACTATGGATAATATGGCACTTTAACAATTTTCTTTCAATCAATAGACATGAAATGTTTTTAAATTTATTTTTGTTGTTTCAATTTTTTTTATTGATGTATGCTTTATTTCAAAGTAAGCCTGTCTTCTGAAAAGAGTGTTCCTCAATCTTGGGCATTAGCACAGTTTTACAACTCCCTCCCTGGATCTCAAAGCTCTTTTAAGGGCACTTATTTTTTAGATGGGGTCTTGCTACATAATCCAGGCTGGTCTTGAAATTATGGCCTGAAGCAGTTCTCTGACTTAATATACCATGTAGGTGTCATTACAGGTTTGAGCCATGATTTCTGTTTCTCTTATAAAGGCATTTTCGTTAGGGATGGCTTATGAATTTTCTTGCTGTCAGAAAATAGGCAAATAGGACACGTTTTATTTTCCCATCTTAGTGATGTCACTCTCACTGTACCTTTTTACTTTTTATTTTCTATTTTGATTTTGTCTGTAATTTTAGATTTAGACATTTAGAACAATATACTAGAATTTACATTTTATGCCTGAAGTGAATTAGATAATTAGTAGGCAGGCAAAGAAAGATGATAGGATTTTTACTCACTTTTGTCAGCCTATACCTAAAATATAACATAATTTTTCTTTATTTAGCAATGTATGGCTATTCTTAGCTTCTAAAGTTGGATTACAGCAGTTTTATTTTGTGTAAGAATAGTATATATTTAAAACTTAAAAATTATGTCATTTATTAAAATGCTTATTTATCATGTTTGTCATTAGAATCTTCTGTTTATGATTATACTGCATTTAAACTTTACTAATTACAGTGTATGCCAGTGATTCAAAATAGCCACCCTCAATGAGTACACAGTTCCACAGTTACCTACACAAATTCGTTGTTAATGCTACATCAGTGTTGCCTACCAGATTTTATGGGTAAACATTAATTGTTCTCTAGTTCCATATTAGTGAGTTTTTTCAGTGTACGTTTCTTAACATAATTTTGTTGTGTTTTTGATTTTATAATTTTAAATGGTTTGTAATTCTGTTTACAGAATTTGTGGGGTTTAATTAAGAGATAAATTAGCCATATGTCTATTACAGTCTGATTATATATGTGTGTGTTTTTATTTATAAATATGTCCCCAATTTTGGTTATGGTTAATCTTGTATTTATGTTTTCTTAGCTGGTTTTTAATGGTGGCTTTATCTTGTCTAAATAAGTAGTCATGAAAATAGTCTTATTTTCACCTTGTGTTTAATAAAAAATATATATTTCTTTGTGTGAGAGAAACAGTTTTGTGACTTGAAGGTAATTTTTGAAAACATTTATAGCTCTGTAAAATTTACCATCTTAAATGTATTTAAGTGTACTTTTCATGGCCAGTCATGGTGGTGGTTTACACCAGTAATTCTCGGATTTGTGGAGGCCAAGGCTGGAAGACATCTTGAGTCCAAAACCTTGAGAACAGCCTGGGAGACATATGGAGACTTCATCTCTCTCTATAAAACATTTAAAAAACTAGCCAGACATAGTAGTGTTATTCTATCTCCTTGGGAGATTGAGAAGGGAAGATTACTTGAACCTTGAAGTTTGAGGCTGCAGTGAGCCATAATTGTACCATGCACTCCAGCTTCGGTGACAGAGTAAGACCATAACTCAAAAACACTGTACATTTCAGGCATGTTAAGTATATTTGCATTATTTTATAAAAGATTTCTAAAAATTTTATATTACACATTAAACAACTGGCACTTCTTTTCTATTTCCTTGTACTTTTCAACCATGTTTGTGTCTGGCTCATTTTATTTCGCATAATATCATCAAAATAGTAAATACTTCGGTATTTTTATATTTCAAATTATATTTATTGAACAATTTGGTGACAGAAATTTGCATTCTTTTACCTATTGGCTTTCAGTAACAATACTAAAATAATCATTGGTGTCCAGATGACTTCATATAACCATATATGTGAGAGTTATGTGCTGCATTCTATTGCATCCAAAATTTTTTTTTTTAATTTTGAGATGCAGTCTCACTCTGTCATCCAGGCTGGAGTGCAGTGGCACAATCTTGGCTCACTACAACATGAGTCTACTTTGTTTTTGTTTTTGTTTTTGAGGTGAAGTCCTGCTCTGTCAGCCAGTCTGGAGTGCAATCGCGTGATCTCAGCTCACTGCAATCTCTGCCTCCCTGGTTGAAGTGATTCTTCTGCCTCAGCTTCCTGATCCGCTGGGACTACAGGCGCACGCCACCATGCCCAGCTATTTTTTATTTTTATTTTTAGTAGAGAGAGGGTTTCACCGTGTTGGCCAGGCTGGTCTCAAACTCCTGACCTCATGATCTACCCCCTTCAACTTCCCAAAGTGCTAGGATTATAGGCGTGAGCCACCACACCCGGCCTACTTGTTTACCTTTATACTCATACCAAATTGTTTTAATTGTGTAGCTTTGTAATTTGTTTTGAAATCAGAAACTGTAATGCCCTCAACATTGTTTGGTTTTGTTTTCAATATTTTGGGCTACTTTATTGTCTTTCGAGATTCTATATACTCGGGATTGTTGTTTCTATTTTGTAAAAAAATCCATTGAGAAATTTGAAAAACTTTGCATTAAATCTGTAGATTGCATTGAGAAGGGTGAACATCATTACAGTATTCCCTTTTCCAGCCTTTCAGAAGGGCATCCTCAAGAGTGTGTTGTTTTTGTGAATTTTTTAGTTTTTTTTTTTTATTTGATTAGATACTCATTTCATTTTGATGATAGGAAGTCATTTATAAAATTTTAGCTTTTAAAAGTTTGGTAAGACTCTCTCTTTGGCCTAAGAGGTGTTCAATGAAGGAAAATGTTGTATTAGCTATTGAAAACCATGTGTATCCTGATGTTAAGAAGTGTTTTCTATACCTCTGTTACAAATAATTGTCTTATAATGCCTGCAGTTCTTCTATTTCCTTACTAATATTCTCGTTTTTTGTTTATTACAAAAAGTGCTGTATTGAAATACCCTACTACAATTATATTGCTCTCTATTTCTCTCTCTTATTCTGTCAGTATTTGCTTTATATGTTTGAAGCCCTAATGTGAGACACACACATCCACACATGTGTATACAAATTTGTCATAGGTTTCCAGTGAATAAATTTATACTTTTTTTTTTAAAAATATATACAGAGTTTCACTGTGTTGCCCAGGCTGAAGTGCAGTGGTGTGATCTCCGCTCACTGCAACCTCTGCCTTTTGGGTTCAAGCATTCTCCTTCCTCAGCCTTCCAGAAAGCTAGGATTATAGGCACCTACCAGCATGCCTGGCTAATTTTTCTGATTTTAGTAGAGATAGGGTGTCACCATGTTGGCCAGGCCAGTCTTGAACTCCTGACCTCAAGTGATCTGCCTGCCTTAGCCTCCCGAAGTGCTGGGATTACACATGTGAGCCGCTGTGCCTGGGCTAAATCTGTAAGTTTTAATGTCTTTTTTTGTCTCCTTGGAGATTTGACTTGAAGTACATATTAAAAATATGACAGTTTTTGACTTAAGATATACCTTGTATAATATTTTAATTTTTTCTGCTCTCATTTGACCCATACTTGCATGAAATGTCTACTTCCATCTTGCCCCTTTCAGTATTTTTTATCACTAGATCTCAACTGACTTGTAGAGAAAAAAAGTTGGATCTTGGTTTTCAATTATTTTTTTTTTCGAGATGGAGTCTTGCGCTGTTGCTGGGTTGGAGTGCAGTGATGTGATCTCAGTTTACTGCTGCCTCTGCCTCCCTGGTTGAAGTGATTCTCCTGCCTCAGCCTCCTGAGTAGCTGGGACTGCAGGCCTGCACCATCATGTCCAGCTAATTTTTGTATTTTTAGTAGAGATGGGGTTTCACCATCTCTAGGATAGTCTTGATCTGTTGACATTGTGATTGGCCCGCCTCAGCCTTCCAAAGTGTTGGGATTACAGGCCTGAACCACCACGCATGGCCTGGTTTTTAAATTTTTAATAAATTTATTTATTGAATGTACTTCTCTTTATTTGAAAGCTAAATATATATATAATTTTCTAAAAGCAAACGACATACTGTTATGTTTTTAATTTGATTCTTTCATCTTTGTTTCTCATTTCCTCTCTTTTTCTGTGTCTTTGGAGTTTTACGTTGATATGCTTTTACTTATTTCTAATTCACTTTTGTGTATGTATACACAAAAAAAGATTTTTTTTTTTTGTACCTTGGGGGTTACATAAAACTTGTAAGAAACAACATTTTTAATTTGGTACAAAATAAACTTCAGTTGAATAAAAATTTTTTTCTCATAACATCTGTCCTGAAATTTGTCATTGATGTTTCTAATTATGTTTTTACATTGGATATTCATTATCAGGTCTTTGCAATTTCTGTGCCTTTATTTTTTCAAATATTAGAGAATAATTTACAATTATTTCTGCATTATTATGGTATTCTATTTTTGTGTATGTGCATATCTTTCCCAGAAAATAATGTAATTTTATGTGTTGTTTTCTTGAATTTTTTTATTTTCAGTTTAAGAAAGTGTTTTCAGCATCTTTTATGTGTACAGCATATGCAGCGCCAATATATTTTTTGGAAATCGGTTGTTTCAAAGGTTCCCCACCCCCACCCCCCTGAGTCTCACTCTGTTGCCAGGCTGGAGTGCAGCGTCGGGATCTCAACTTACTGCATTTGCCTTCTGGGTTCAAGCGATTCTCCTGTTTTAGCCTATCCAGTAGGTGGAACTACAGGCACACCCGGCTAAGTTTTGTATTTTAGTAAAGATAGGGTTTCACCGTGTTGGCCAGGCTGATCTTTTGGCAGGACAGATTTGTTGATGGTTACTATTCTCCCTTGATAGCCTTTTCTCCCCGTCAGAACGTTGACTGTGTCACCCGGTTTCTTTCTGGCCTGTAAAATTTTTGTTGATAATTTACTGGTTATATCCTTACACTGTGTTTGTAAATGACACATTACTTTTTTTTTTGAGACGGAGTTTCACTCGTGTTACCCAGGCTGGAGTGCAATGGCGCGATCTCGGCTCACCGCAACCTCCGCCTCCTGGGTTCAGGCAATTCTCCTGCCTCAGCCTCCTGAGTAGCTGGGATTACAGGCACACGCCACCATGCCCAGCTAATTTTTTGTATTTTTAGTAGAGACGGGGTTTCACCATGTTGACCAGGATGGTCTCGATCTCTTGACCTCGTGATCCACCCGCCTCGGCCTCCCAAAGTGCTGGGATTACAGGCTTGAGCCACCGCGCCCGGCAACACATTACTTTTATCTTTCAGCTTCCAAGACCTTTTTCTTGTCTGTAATTTTTGAAAATGTGCTTATATATATATATATATATATATTTTTTTTTTTAATAAATATTTTTGCGTGTATCCTAATTTATTTGTTGAACCTCTTCACTTTTATGTCTTTTCTTTCTTTCTTTTTTTTTTTTTTTAACGTTTGGGATTTTCCTGTTACTGATTTTTAAATTTTTTACCCCCACAATTAAAAAAAAATTTTTTTAGATATTTTTGTTTTTATTCTTTTTTTGGTTTTCTATAGCAGTCTGTGTTCCTGTTTCACTCATTCAGTATTACTCAATTTTTTATCAGTGTTTAAAGTTAATGTGTACACCTTTTTATTTCTTTCTGAAAATTATATAATATTTTTGATAAAATAATATTGCCCTGTTTTGTAATCTTTGAGATTTGAATATTTTAAAAAAGCTACCTGTCACAGTCTTTAAAGTTTTTTTCTGACATAGTCTGAAAACAATTATCTTGGCTAGAGATTCTAGGAGTCTCTTAAACATGTTGTTAGGATGTGCCTTGTGTAAAATTTTCTAACACTGCATTTGTAAATGACACATTACTTTTACCTTGCAGCTTCCAAGACTTTCTTCTTGTCTGTGATTTTTAAAAATTTTTAGTTAAAGGAGTTGATTCATGTTTCTCCTTCTTCTTTTCTCCTTCCGTCCTTCCTCCCTCCCTCCCTCCCTCCCTCCCTCCCTTCCTTCCTTCCTCTCTCTCTCTCTCTCTTTCTTTCTTTCTTTCTTTCTTTCTTTCTTTCTTTCTTTTTCTTTCTTTTCTTTCTTTCTTTCTTTCTTTTTCTTTTTCTTTCTTTCTCTCTTTTTCTTTCTTTTTTTCTTTCTCTCTCTCTCTCTTTCTTTCTTTCTCTTTTTTTTCCCTCCCTCCCTCCCTCCCCCCCCTCCCTCCCTTCCTTCCTTCCTTCCTTCCTGTTGTTGAGACAGAATTTCAGTCCTTCACTCAGGCTGGAGTGCAGTGAAATGGTCTTAGCTCACTGAAGCCTCTGCCTCCCAGGTTCAAGTGATTCTCCTGTTTCAGCCTCTCAAATAGCTGGGATTACAGGCATGTGTCTCCATGCTCAGCTAATTTTGTATTTCTGGTAGAGACAGGGTTTTACCATGTTGTCCAGGCTGGTCTCAAACTCCTGACCTGAGGGTCATCTCCCCACCTCAGCCTCCCAAAGTGCTAGTATATTACAGGTGTGAACCACGACATTCAGACAATTTATGTTTTTTTAATAACCAATAATCACTTGCTACAATTGTTTGCTGTCTGTGATACCACAGTCTTTCTGCTGCTTTAAACCTTACCTTTTGTTTCAGCTGTCATTTGATAAAATACCACTATTTTAGAACTTTTTATGAGAGACAGGAACCAGTATCTGTAAAAGACCCTACCATCCAGAAATAAAGATGTATATGGCAGTATTTTACTTGAGTTTTAAAAAAGAAATCAGGAGTTGGCAATTTATTTCAAGTCACTATGTTATATTGAGAAGCAGGAAGATCTGTGTTGGGTAAACAAAACAGACTTTTCTTCTATGTTGCTCTTTGCATTGGGCACACCAGGGGCATTACACACAGTTACTTTAATTTTTTACAAATGAAATTTGGTCTGTATGTTTTTGTTACATTTACATGTCTGTGAAAAAACATTTGCCTGTAATATTTTCCTGTGCCATCTTGTGATGTAGTTTGTATAATTTTATAGGTAAGATTTGTAAAATATATTCATCTGAGTCTAGTAAGTGGAGTAATTTGTTACTATTATTTCTTTCAGTTGTATGTTCTTATTTTGCCCAAGACCTTTGGCCAAAGCAGGACATAAAAAATTGTTTCCAAAAAATGATACTGAGAAGATATAAAAAATGTGGACATGAAAATTTACAGTTAAGAAAATGTTGTCAAAGCATGGATGAGTGGAAGTTGCACGAAGAATGTTACAATGGACTTAACCAGTGTTTGACAACTACCCAGTGCAAAATGTTTCAATGTAACAAATTTGTGAAAGTCTCTGATAAATTTTCAAATTCAAACAGACATAAGATAAGACAAACTGGAAAGAACTCTTTCAAATGTAAAGACTGTGAAAAGTCATTTTGCACGCTTTCACACTTAGCTCAACATAAAATAATTCATACTGGGGAAAGACCCTGCAAATTTAAAGAACGTGACAAAGCCTATAATGGGACCTCAAGCCTTTCTACCTGTAAAATAATTAATACTGAAACAAAACTCTACAACTTTGAAGAATGTGGGAAAACCTTTAAGCAGTTTTCACACCTGAATAGACATAAGATCATTTATACTGGAGAGAAACCCTACAAATGTGAGTCATGTGGCAAAGCTTTTAACCAATCTACAAACCTTGCTACACACAAGAGAATTCATACTGGAGAGAAACCCTACAAATGTAAAGACTGTGTCAAAACTTTTAGCCAGTCCTCACAACTTGCTAAACATAAGGGAATTCATTCTGGAGAGAAACCCTACAAATGTGAAAAATGTGGAAAAGCCTTTAAGCGATTCTCATACTGTACTGCACATAAGAGAATTCATACTGGAGAGAAACCCTACAAATGTGAAAAGTGTGGCAAAGCTTTTATCCGATCTTCATACCTTACTATACATAAAAGAATTCACACTGGAGAGAAACCCTACAAATGTGAGGAATGTGGCAAAGCTTTTACCCGGTCTGCATACCTCACTTCACATAAGAAAATTCATACTGGAGAGAAACCCTACAAATGTGAGGACTGTGGCAAGGCTTTTAGCCAGTACTCAAACCTTACTAGACATAAGGTAATTCATACTGGAGAGAAACCCTACAAATGTAAAGAATGTGGCAAATCTTATAACTGTTCCTCTACCCTTTCTAGACATAAGAAAATTCATACTGGAGAGAAACCCTACAAATGTGAAGAATGTGGTAAAGCTTTTAACCGGTCCTCAACCCTTACTACACATAACAGAATTCATACTGGAGAGAAACACTACAAATGTGAAGAATGTGGCAAAGCTTTTAACCGGTTCTCAACCCTTACTACACATAACAGAATTCATACTGGAGAGAAACACTACACATGTGAAGACTGTGGCAAAGGTTTTAGCCAATCCTCAACCCTTACTACATATAAGATAATTCATACTGAAGAGAAATTCTATAAATGTTAAGATTGTGGCAAGGACTTTATCTGGTTATCACACCTTACTGCACATAAGAGAATGTATACTGGAGAGAAACCCTACAAATGTGAAGAATGTGGCAAAGCTTTTATCCAATCCTCAACCCTTACTACACATAAGAGAATTCATACTGGAGATCAGCCCTACACATGTAAAGAATGTGGCAAAGCTTATTAACCAGTTGTCAACTCTTTGTAAACATAAGCTAATTCATACTGGAGAGAAACCCTACAAATGTGAGGAATGTGGCAAAGCTTTTAATCAATCTCCAAACGTTACTACACATAAGACAATTCATACTGGAGAGAAACACTACAAGTGTAAAGAATGTGGTATAGCTTTAAGCAGTCCTCAAACCTTACTAGACATAAGATAATTCGTAATGGAGAGAAACCCTACAAGTATAAAGAATGTGGCAAAGCCTTTAGTCCTCAATTCTTAGCAGGCGTAAGATGATTCATACTGAAGAGAAACTCTACAAACCCAAAAGTTCTGATAATGCTGTGACAACACCTCAGACATTTCCAAACACAAAAGAAATAGTGCTGGTGAGAAATCATGGAAGTGTGAATAATGTGACAAAGCCTTTAAATGGTTGTCACTGTTGATTCTAGCTAAGATAATTCATACTGGAGAAAACCACAAGTATGAACAATGTGGCAAAACTTTTAAACAATGCTCATATCTTATTACACAGGAACACATATTTTAAGTGTACAAATACAAAGAAAGTAAAAAAGTGGTTACTGTCTGTTCACAATCTTACTCTACATCAGAGAGTTTATACTTAATAAAAGCATCAAAAAAAAAAAAGTAATTTTTCTTAAAAGATTCTTTAGAAAATATAAGCCTTTAAAGTGCTGAAGAGGGCTTATTTTGAAGACAAACATCACAAACATAAAGAGAGTTGTAGTAACTTTACTTGTAATGCAGATGTTGTTGTATTAGAGACAAGCCCTGAAGCTATTGCTCAAATTTTGTTCAACATCAGAGAATTTATATCCAACAAAATCCCTGCAAATATAATAAATTTGGAAAAAAAGTAGAGCTAGGAAACTCCAGAGTGTTCATACTAAAATATATTTTTACAGATACAGTAAATAGAAAAAAAAAAAAAAAAGAAACCATTGAATCCAAAATTAAGTCTATGTAAATATCAGATAATTTACATTAGAAATGTATAAGGCGGGCCAGGCATGGTGGTTCGCACTTGCAATCCCAGCCACTTGGAAGGCCGAGGTGGGTGGATCATGAGGTCAGGAGTTTTAGTCCAGCCTGGTCAATATGATGAAACCCAATCTCTACTAAAAATACAAAAATTAGCCAGGTGTGGTAGAATGTGCCTGTAGTTCCAGCTACTTTGGAGGCTGAGGCAGAAGAATCACTTGAACCTGGGAGGTGGAGGTTGCCGTTAGCCAAGCTTGCACCATGCACTCCAGCCTGGGGAACAGAGTGAGACTTGGTCTCAAAAAAAAAACAAAAAACAAAAAACAAGAAATGTATAAGGCACTAACACAGTAAATCAGAGTTCTGAGTTTAAAAAATAATCCAAAACTACAGTTGGTAGAAAAATTATTTGTATATAACTTTAAAATAATAAGTTTTTTTGGAGAATTATAATTACAAGTATTCTTATTTTTTGGCAAGATTGCAACATTGTAATTAACTCTCAAATTACTTCATACTAATAATATTGTAATTTTCTCTCAAAGTACTTCATGCTAAATAAATGTTTATTTTTATTTTATTTTATTTATTTATTTATTTTTGAGACGGAGTTTTGCTCTTGTTACCCAGGCTGGAACACAATGGCGTGATCTCGGCTCACTGCAACCTCTGCCTCCTGGGTTTCAGCAATTCTCCTGCCTCAGCCTCCTGAGTAGCTGGGATTACAGGCATGTGCCACCATGCCCAGCTATTTTTTTGTGTTTTTAGTAGAGACAGGGCTTCACCATGTTGACCAGGATGGTCTCGATCTCTTGACCTCATGATCCACCCACTTCGGCCTCCCAAAGTGCTGGGATTACAGGTGTGACCCATGGTGCCCAGCCTTATTTTTATTTTTGAGACAGAGTCCTGCTCTGTCACCCAGGCTGGAGTGCAGTGGCATGAACTCAGCTGATTGCAACCTCCACCTCCTGGGTTCCAGTGCTTCTCTTGCCTCAGCCTGCCAAGTATCTGGCATTACAGGCACATACCACCACTCCTGGCTGTGTTTTATATTTTTAGTAGAGATGGGGTTTTGTCATGTTGGCCAGTCTGCTCTCAAACTCATGACCTCAGGTGATCTGCCCAACTCAGCCCCAAAAGTGCTGAGATTACAGGTGCTAGCTACTGTACCTGGCCCATCCTGTTTCTTTACCCTATTATATTTATACATGAAAGCATGTGACTAATTGTTGCTGCACCAGAGATCTGAGAAATTGACCAGGGACAGTGGCTCACACTTGTAATCTCTGCGGTTTGGGAGGCTGAAGTGGGTCGACCACCTGAGCTTGGGAGTTCAAGGCCAGTCTGACCAACATGGAGAAACCCCATCTCTACTAAAGTACAAAATCTGCCAGGCGTGGTTGTGCATGCCCGTAATCCCAGCCAGTTGGGAGGCAGAGGTTGCACTGAGCCAAGATACTACCACTGCACTCCATCCTGGGCGACAGGAGTAAAACTCCATCTGAAAAAAAAAAAAAGGAGATTATTTTTTTGTAGGTGAGCATTTATGACCTCTTTTATGAAAGAGTAAGTACATTAAAATGTAAAATGCATGATGAAAATGTGAGTAAAAAGATTCTTTACGGTTAACTTACAATATTGAGTGATGTATGAAGTAGGTGTCCAGAGTAATATTCTTCTGCATTACAATAAGAGACAAATATTTTTAGTTTTAGCTAAAATTAAATTGTCCATGTGTGGTGGCTTACACCTGTAATCCCAGCACTTTGGGAGGCCAAGGCAGGCAGATCATGATGTCAGGAGTTTGAGACCAGCCTGGTCAATATGGTGAAACCTCATCTCTACTAAAAATACAAAAATTAGTCAGGCTTGGTGGTGCACACCTGTAGTCCCAGCTACCTGGGAGGCTGAGGCAGGAGAATCACTTGAACCCAGGAGGCAGAGGTTGCAGTGAGCCAAGATCATGCCATTGCACTCCAGCCTGGGAAAGAGAGTGAGAATACATCTTAAAAAAAAATTAGGAACACTTTTACACTGTTGGTGGGAGTGTAAGTTAGTTCAACCATTGTGGAAGACAGTGTGGCGATTCCTCAAGGACCTAGAGATAGAAATTCCATTTGATCCAGCAATCCCATTACTGGGCATGTATCCAAAGGTTTATAAATCGTTCTACTGTAAGGACACATGCATACAAATGTTCATTGCAGCACAGTTTATAATAGCAAAGACCTGGAACCAACCCAAATGCCCATCGATGACAGACTGGACAGAGACAATGTGGCACACATATACCATGGAATATTATGCAGCCATCAAAAATGATGAGTTCGTGTCCTTTGTGGGGACATGGATGAACCTGGAAACTGTCATTCTTAGCAAACTGACAGAAGAACAGAAAATCAAACACCGCATGTTCTCACTCATAGGTGGGTGTTGAACAATGACAACACATGGACACAGGGAGGGGAGCACCACACACTGGGGTCAGTTGGGGGGTAATAGGGGAGGGACAGTGGAGGGTGAGGAGTTGGGGAGAGATAGCATGGGGAGAAATGCCAGATATAGGTGATTGGGAGGAAGGCAGCAAATCACACTGCCGTGTGTGTACCTATGCAACAATCTTGCATGTTCTTCACATGTACCCCAAAACCTAAAATGCAATAAAATTTTTTTTCAATTGCTAAAAAAATAGTTTCCATAAAAAGTAAAAAAGATGCACTTTGATTTTTTAAAATAATTACTTATAACTGTCAACTGCACCATTTGATTATATTCAAAACATCCTAACAGAGCCAAAATGCACTTCTGTCAATGCTCTATTTCACCATTAAGATAAATATAAGAGAAGAGGCCTTGAAGATGCATGTGTCTTGTTTAAACATTACAAGAAGCTTTCTTTTGTGTTTTTGCCTGGCAACCAAGTGATTTTTCATATAACCTGATACAATAAAATATATGGAAGCTAAAAATGCTAAAATAAATTAGTAGTATATTAGTTTAGTAATTTTACTTTTATGAAACAAAATGTAGTACAAGTTAATAATTTTAGATTACATGTGAATTTAATTTCTTAATTCAACCTTTTTTATATTTTAAATATTTCACATTCAATTAAATCTTATTATTCCACTTAACCTAGTCCCCTTTACTCAAGGGTGTAGGTAAAAGATGGTAAGAATACACTATTTGGTTAAATAATGGACTAACATCTTTTTTGCCAGTGACTTAAAACTGCAAATAACTTAAGAGATATTGTTCCTGTAGGTAATTTATTTATTTATTGCCTTTAAATTTACTGTTAATTTTTGTGGTCACATAATATTTATGTTATGTATATCTGTTAAAAATACATACTCTGATAGAGACATCAATATATAATAATCATATTAGGTTAAATGAGATATCAGTCACCTAAAATTTATTTTTTTAATACAAAGAATTCAATTCTATAGTTTTAGTTATTTAAAAATATACAAGTAGATTGTTAGTACTGAGTCATTTTTGTAATAATAAAATTATATGCAGTTTTAAATAAAATTTACAAATATCTGAGTCCTGAATAAATACTTTTAAAAATCTCTTCCATATTCTTTTTTTTTTTTTTCAGTTTTTTTTTTTTTCCCATTTATTTTATTGCATTTTAGGTTTTGGGGTACATGTGAAGAACATGCAAAATTGTTGCATAGGACCACACGTGGCAGTGTGATTTGCTGCCTTCCTCCCCATCACCTACATCTGGCATTTCTCCCCTTGCTATCTCTCCCCAGCTTCCCACCCCCCACCGGCCCTCCCCTATTTCCCCCAACTGACCCCAGTGTGTAGTGCTCCCCTCCCTGTGTCCATGTGTTCTCATTGTTCAACACCCGCCTATGAGTGAGAACATGTGGTGTTTGATCTTCTGCTCTTCTGTCATTTTGCTGAGAATGATGGTTTCCAGGTTCATCCACGTCCCTACAAAGGACACGAACTCATCGTTTTTGATGGCTGCATAATATTCCATGGTGTATATGTGCCACATTTTCCCTATCAAGTCTATCGTCGATGGGCATTTGGGTTGGTTCCAGGTCTTTGCTATTGTAAACAGTGCTGCAATGAACATTCGTGTACACGTGTCCTTATAGTAGAACGATTTGTAATCCTTTGGATATATACCCAGTAATGGGACTGCTGGGTCAAATGGAATTTCTATTTCTAGGTCCTTGAGGAATCGCCACACTGTCTTCCACAATGGTTGAACTAATTTACACTCCCACCAACAGTGCAAAAGTGTTCCTATTTCTCCACATCCTCTCCAGCATCTGTTGTCTCCAGATTTTTTAATGATCGCCATTCTAACTGACGTGAGATGGTATCTCAGTGTAGTTTTGATTTGCATTTCTCTGATGACCAGTGATGATGAGCATTTTTTCATGTGTTTGTTGGCCTCACGTATGTCTTCTTTTGAGAAGTGTCTGTTCATATCCTTTGCCCACTTTTGAATGGGCTTGTTAGTTTTTTTCTTGTAAATCTGCTTTAGTTCTTTGTAAATTTTGGATATCAGCCCTTTGTCAGATGGGTAAATTGCGAAAATTTTTTCCCATTCTGTTGGTTGCTGATTCACTGTAATGATTGTTTCTTTTGCTGTGCAGAAGCTGTGGAGTTTGATTAGGTCCCATTTGTCTATTTTGGCTTTTGTTGTCAATGCTTTTGGTGTTTTGGTCATGAAGTCCTTGCCTACACCTATGTCCTGAATGGTTTTGCCTAGATTTTCTTCTAAGGTTTTTATGGTGTTAGGTCTTATGTTTAAGTCTTTAATCCATCTGGAGTTAATTTTAGTGTAAGGTGTCAGGAAGGGGTCCAGTTTCTGCTTTCTGCACATGGCTAGCCAGCTTTCCCAACACCATTTATTGAACAGGGAATCCTTTCCCCATTGCTTGTTTTTGTCTGGTTTGTCAAAGATCAGATGGTTGTAGATATGTTGTGTTGCCTCCGAGACCTCTGTTCTGTTCCATTGGTCTATATCTCTGTTTTGGTACCAGTACCATGCTGTTTTGATTACGGTAGCCTTGTAGTATAGT